GTAGTTTAATTATTTCTTTATATTTACTGTTCAATATTTGACGATTTGGAAGTTCAATTGGCATTAATCGACTACGAATGAATGTGCATACATTGTGTTCTAAATGAGAAGAAAAGTACTCAAATAACACTCTCGATGGTTGATGAACAAAACACACTTGCTGTAAAAACCCCCAGATAAATTCCCAAAAAATTGAAAAATACAAGAACGTATGATGTTTCTCTTGTTAATGTCCCTCCAAATGGTACAAAATTATAAGCAGATGTCCAAACAGCATAGACGACTTGTAGTATATAAATCAGCGATGCAACAACAATTATACGAGCAGATGATCCTCTTGTAACTTTATCAAATAATAATGGAATGATAGAGCCAATAAACACAGCCAAACCAAGACCCCCTAGAAGACATGAAAACAGAATAAATTAGTATTTGAATATAATGCATCAAATAATTTGAACAGACTAACCGACAAAAGAGAATAAACCACGTCCAAAATAAAGTACAAAATAGGAGATGAAGCCCACGGATGCCCACCAACGATTTGTAACAATATAAGGTCGTTTAATGAGGAGTACACCACAAAATAAGAATACCCAAACAAGCAGACTACCCATATATAGAAAAGAATGATATATCACTCAATTATCATTCCCATATTAAGTCATATAACTCACCTGTATGGTATCGGATCGGGAGCTTGATTTGGAAAAGTATGTGATGCCCAACGTGAGACGACAGATAGCTCACCAAAAACCCAATGTAAATTAAACAATAAACATCCAAAACCGATACCAGTCAATAACCAGTTGGGTTGAGAGGGAGTATCATGAGAAGATACACGTAATGGTTTGATGGTTGGATTATTTCCACTAAATATTGGATATTCAAGAGATGTTAATAATTGTGTCATTGTACTATCTAAATAAACAGAAAGTAAAGTGGTACAGTAAACACATATCAAAACACACATATTTACCTCTAATAAATTGATCAAATAAAACGACGAGACCAATCAAAAAGTGGACAAGATTTGCAATGACACCAGACCAAGCAGGTATAAGACTACTAAAACAAACTCTTGCACTGAGAAAAAAGAAAAAACTGTACGTTAATGCCCAAACAACGATTGATCTGAAATTTGAAAGAACAAACAAAATAATGATATGTTTTTTTCTTAAAAAATACTGAATAGTAATTTAATGACCTGTAACAATAATATTTTGAATTTAAACTTGAACATAAATCAAGCATTGTCACACATGTACCAAATGACAATAACAATAATCGAAGTACAGGTTCTTCAATTTGAAATGATAATAAACTACTAATAACAAGTAAACGAATAATCATTTTTCCCGTTCTATTCTGAACATAGAATCACATACTAACAGTACATTTAAAAAGTATAAAATTGACTTACTTCAATAATCGTACTTATAAACGTTGATCCCATTATTATCGGACTAGCTAAACTTAATATTAAAATTTCATAACCATCTATTGCTAATTTAACCATTGGAAAAAACATGACCATTGCTTTTTAAAAATAAAAAGATAAACAATTATTATTCTCAATTAAGACTTTAACCTTACGTCCAATGCCAAAAAATATCGTCCAAAATATATAGCCTAAGAACAAAGAAAAAAAAGTAAGTTCTCTCGATTTTTTTTTTAATTTTTTATATTATGTACGATGAGCTTACCAAAATACATTTCCCACATGAATAAACGAAAAAATTTCTTTTCAATAATTAATTTAATATTAGCAGGCAATTTTTGTGAATCAACATCGTTCTCATATTTTTTCCGATCAGGATCCATTTTATCTTTTATATTATTAACTTCATCGTCTTCCGTTTTTGCTGTTAATTTTTCAGCGTTTTTAACATTTTTACGTGAATGTAACGAGGTATTATTTGTATCATCCATCTATAACAAAGACTATGCCAGTTTTCTAGACATATAAAAAGGTAAGATCAATCATGCATAGCATCGGAAAGAACAAAGAAAATCAAAACAAATTCTTATGCTTAACTAACAGACAAATTTTGTACATTACCAACTGGAAAGATATCTGAAAAGACTTATTGGAGTTCGTCTAACGATATTATCATTGTGCACAATGACCGAATTGAATTCTAAGCTAGCAAAAAGAAAATTTTAATCTATGTTTTCGATGTCAAAATGTATCCATGTCATGAAAGTCTATGAACACTCTGTTTAACACTTGACCATTTTGTACAGTGTACAGTTTAAAACTTAGATTTACATTTGATTCTCTTTAACATAATTCCTGATCTGAACCTTCTTCTGAACCATCTTAAATTAACGAGAAAAGTGTGCTAAAGGTTTTTAAGATTCACCCGCACTCAACACGATCTTTCTTTCAAAACTAGGTGTTTGCATTTTTGTGATATTTTGTGAACGAAAGATCGTTTCGAGTGCGAGCAATTCTTAAAAACCTTCAGCACACTTTTCTCGTTAATTTAAGACGTCTCAGAGCTCAGGGTAAGGATGCTCAAAAACAACACACAGAAAACGTTACAGATTTCGCTCCGGTAGCAGAGTTAGTTGGCCAAGTCCTATAAATGCCGGATTGTAGAGAGAATAGATCGAGATTAGATAGAAACATTATGAGTTCACTACTTTGTTTACAGTTATTTTAATCGGGTTTAAATGTAAACACAAACAATTGTGTTCATATATTACGATATTTTATATTATTTGAAAAGTAGTTAACAGGATTCTGAAAAAGATCATTTGACAGAAGCAATGCAAGGTGAAAGGATAAAACGCCTTTTATTATTGAACAAGAAGGAATGGCACGAGAAGTAAGAATTGAAAACTAGAGTGGAAGATGAAAATAAATTTTTAAACCAGCGTTTTGTAATTGTTGGAGTTGCATCTAACTAAATTTTAGAAACACAAAATTAAGCAGGAGAAACATAGATTAAAAGAGAACGAACAAATGTCTTGTAAACAAACCCTATAGTGCACGGATAAAGCCTTGGTAATATAATTAAGTTTAGTATGAACAGTCAGAAGAATAAGAAAAAGGGGTTTTCTTCTTATATAGAACTGTGGTTTATTCTAAATATATTTTGTGATTGTGTGTGTATACCTTGTTTATCATAAGAAAATGTATCACCGATCTAGTGAACTCCTTTTTCTTGGCTTAAAAACAAATCTTTTTCAAAGTCGTAGCTGACATGTCAGGATGCAGAGTCAAGTGTTCTCCTCAACATAAGATGCATACCTCGATATACTCAGTTATGTCTCGAAATTTCTCGATTTTGTACTTTTATATTTTTTCCCATTTTGCAATACTAAAGTTTCAGATTCATCTGAAGTAACCTGATGAGTTTTAAGTTTTACAGATTTTCTCTATTTCGGGTATATTTACCGTTGCTCTCAAATGTACCATATTTCGTGTAAGGCATGTCTCACAGTCAAGAATCAATTTACATAGTAGAAAAGATCAGCAAAAAGTTTTAAGTAGAATGACTTGAACGATGTAACTGAAAATTTTAAGCGTAGAATAGAACATAAATAATGTGAGCTGTTTTACCTTATAAAATATCGTACTCTGTTTCTGAGACAGAGATGCAGAATATACCCGTTTACTCCGACTGTCATCGATAGAACATTCTTTGATTCAGGAAAATTTTTCAGAAAAAGTTTAGGAATATAACTGGAGAAGAAAATATATTGACACTAGTAAGAAAATATTTTTTCGTTGGGAGAAATTTTTCATTCTTACGGGTGGATTCTGCACTTCTATTCTAAAAGAAAAACTTTCTACGAAAATGATACAGTACTGGGTAATTATAACAAGCTGACAGTCCGGCTGATAGAAATATGAGTTTTTGAACTGAAAAAATCAGTCTAATGTAGAGTGTCATCTGCTTGAGATTGTTGATCTTCTACGTAAAACTACCCTCTTATATCTTCTAAGCTATGTGAAGAAGAATACTCCGCCTTGCGGCTACCGCTGCCGGTGGAGGGTGCTGCCGAATGGCAGTTTCAATAGTCCGATATTTTCCCTGCAGTTGACAAGTTTCCGAGACGGTCACCCATCTCGTTACTAGTCATCAATCACAGCTCTGGTTAGAAGGCTAGTCTGACGCAGAGTTCTTTCGCCCAATTATTTGAGCTTCCCATACACACGTCACTAACCACGTACTAGCTTTCCAGAAAACTACAAGGACTAGCCGGAAAAGCTGTACTGTACTTCACAACGTAGTGAGTATGCTGTCAGAGAAGTGATCTGAGGCACTAAGACATAACTAACTTGCCCAAGGTTATTATATGACTTTGCTAGCGCCAAGGTTCAAATCAGAGACCATCGCAGGGTAACTTATTTCGGCCGTGCCCTGTCAGAAAATGACTCATAAAATTTTATTGCGCTGCAACGGGCAGGGCAACAAAAAATATATCGCTCTGCGCGACAGGGCAGGGCAGCACTGTCCTGCGACGGTCTCTGGTTCGAACACAGCACCTTTGAAGTACGTGACGAACAACATAACCATCAAGTCATGCTGCCCGACAAGAAATTGTGTGATAGGAAGAGGCACGTACAGCAGGGTTTTCCAGTAGTTGTCTTGAACAACTCACCAGTACGCTTTTTAATATAACAGAGAAAAGTAGCTTGTACGTGTAGTCTTATCAACAAAATATCATTAAAGTAGTAGTAATAAAAGGATCAAAGCTTCTTTGCTGCTCAAATTTGAGTATCATGTATTTTTTCAGAATTTGTACAGTTTATAAGAAGCAGCAGTTTTAAATAAAGTATAAACGATAGAAAAGTTGTTCGACCAGAGGCATTAAAAATAATTTATCAGATCAAAATGTGCAAACTATTGTAGCCTCACAGACAACTTTTCAAGTATATATCACGAAGCGAAGCGAGAAAAATTTTCTGTCATTTTGTAAAAAAAACCTCGCAAGTTGAAATCAAGATTTTCTTATTAGCTTGAAGATTCGTTATTGGGAAATAAATTCTTCTAACGTAAGTATTTAAAATTAAATTATTAAATAATAATTAGATAATTAATTAGTATTGTCATATTTGTTTTTTCAGACTTTATTAATCAACTCTTTTATTGCTTTAAATGTAAGCCAATAAGGTGAACATAGAATCTGAGCATGTCAGATGGTGCTTTAGTTTGAAAGTACGATCTATCTGTAACAGAGGTCTACAGAGTATGTGTTTGTTATATCGGAGTAACGTAGAATGGTGTTCATAATACATTTGATCTATACAGAAGATGAGAATAAAATGTTTACAGAAAATGTTCCAAACGATTTTTTCAATTGTAAAGCTGAAGCTCTTGTTATATTACGGTGAAGTTTAAATGAATGTTGAGACATGAGTCGAATTTGATTACAAAATCATTTGTATTTCAGCCGGCATCATTCTCAATTTAGCTTATCTTGATTATTTTAACAAGATGTCAAAAAGAACTGCCTAGCAATGAAGCAATCAGTGTGCAACTCGAGAAATGTCGCATCTGTTTCTTAATACATTATAGGACTGATATATAAATATTAACCTTGGCTAAAAAGAAGATTGAGAGATTCTTAAAATCTTCAATATATATGTGTTAATAATGATAAACTAAACTCTGACGAACAATTTTCCTTTCACCTTTTTTCTCTTCTTCTATCATAAGTCTAACTTGCAAAAAAAGATTTTTTTTACAATTTTTTTTCATTCACATACAAACCGGTCTATATAGACAGATAATGTACATAAAAAGTATGTAAGAGAAAAAAAAATAAGAGTTTGACAGGCACAGAGAACTTATTTCTTTTTGTTGGTATTATCAAGGCAAAGAATACATCAGTCCCAGAACATAGAAGAACTAAGCAAAAATCGAGAGAAAAGTTGACGTTGATTAATAGAAAATAGTGAAAAAGAAAGAAATAGAAAGCAACATGCTACACTGAAAACCGCAAAAAAAAATTTTTTCTGGTACTATTATGATATTACTAGTAAATATATCTAATGATTCCAATATTCTTTAGATTCATTTTTGTAGTATACCAAAAGTAATTGTTATTTTTTTTTTTTTACATTATTTTTATTCAGTAAGAAACAACATTCATTTGTTCAATTCTAATTGTAAGTAAATTATTGTAAATATTTGATTTCTTTTAGAGGGTATCTGTGTCAATAATGTAAAACACGTCGATCGTGTACTATAAATTATACTGCTTCGTCTAAAAATTATCTAATCAAAATTATATCTAAATTATATCTAAAATTATATCTAAAATTAGATCTAATAACTATCTGTCTCATACATAATAATAGATTGGTAAATTTTTCAATGTAAATGTGAGTTTCATGGTAACATGCGAGATAGTTTCCTTTTAAGAAAATCTAAAAAAGAGACAAGATAGCATTTATTAAGTAGGAGTTTTATTGTAAAAACATTTCTGAATATCAACTATTGAATAATTACTAATTGCCTTTTGTTCTCTATCAATAAGAGATAAAGCATGTCTGTCAAAAGTGATTATCAGACGATCTTTAAATAAAAATCATGGCATTCTTAGTAATAGTAGTAGTGTTTTATATCACGGTAATTATAATTCGTCTTCGTAAATGTCATTTTATATCCACATTTTTATTTCTCATTGTATATTCCATCTCTCTCACACTCTCTGTTTACACATATGTATATTTACTTCTCAGTCAATTGTAAAAAAAACCTTCTATTTTTTTTCTTGAATAGTTTTTTTTCTTTTTGATATTTCGACAGTATATAAAATAAATTGTAATACATCGTCTACTTAAAAGATTTGAATTATGAACGGTATGGACAGAAAAAGAAAAAAAAGATTTTATTACGAATATTTATGGCAAAAGTTTTCTATATCGTCTATATTTCACAAAATTTTTGATAGAATTTGTCCAATCTTGTAAATCGAGGTAGTTTAATGTACTATTATCGATTAATGAAGTATTATACAGATAGACTATGTATTATAAACAGAACATAGTTTAAATGCTTTGTATTTTGCTATAGATAATAATTATTTAAAAAGAAAATTATTCAAATACATACATTTGTTAATATTGCTATATTGAGCAATGTCGAATAAATAACGATGATCGGACTGGTATAGTTAATCAATGAACATCAATAATAATTAAAATGTCTGCATTAATACTAAAAGCAGCAAATGAATTTTCAACGTTATTTCTTGGAACATCGAGAAGTGATGATTCAACTGGGGACCGATTAAGTTATCGTTATACATGTGCAATATTAGTTGCTTTTGCAATTATTGTTTCAAATAGAGAATTTAATCAAAAACGAATACAATGTTGGGTAAAAAATTTATTTTTTAGAAAAAGAAAGTAACATCAAAGATCTATACAATTATCAGTATTTCTTCTATTTTTTTTAGGTTCCAGCTTTTTTTACTGGTAATTATGAAGAATATACGAATAATGTACGTATTCAATTTACTTAATTTGTGTAGATGTATTTTTAGTTTATTCTATTTAGGTTTGTTGGGTTCGAAATACCTATTATGTGGATGAAAATAGTCAAATACCGGACGATAGTCAAACACGTCATGACAATAGTATTAGATATTATCAGTGGATCCCATTCATTTTACTTGTTCAAGCATTTTTCTTCTTTTTACCTTATGTATTATGGCGAGCGTTGAGTCAAAGATCTGGTATGTTCAATAGTGTTCATTATTTCTGTCGACAGACATTATGTGTTTTTGATGCGAAAAATATTTCTTTTTCGTCAGCCGCTGTAAAGTTCTGAAAGCGGGATATTGTTCTTGATATACTCGAGACTAACCAATACTCGCTCATTTTTCGAGCAGTGGTTCACATTCTGCGCCCTAAGATGGAAGAAGTTAACAGAAAATGTATTTCGGACTTGGAAGTTTTTCATACATTTTGTTGCCGACGCCATTTTTTAAGAAGAACTTTGAGAACAAAATAAATTGTTTATTTCTTTGTTGAGCAAAGAATTTTCATTAGTGAGGGAGAGACAAGAAGAAAAAGAAGATTCGTTGTTCAGAATAAGAAGAAATACAGACGAAGACATGAAGTTATTGATAACTGAGACTGTTAGGAATATTAGGAAAACGAAAGCAGAAGGTAAATTCACTACCATAAATTTATAAGATATCTCTTTTAGGTTTCTGATGAAAGTAGAAACAAAAGCTTCGCCTTACTTATGCGAAGATTTAATGTTTCTTTCTTCTAAGTCTACATCTAAGACAGATTTTACTCTAGTACCTGTACACTGCCGTCTATTGTGTTGAAAAGAGTATCTTCTGTTGCAGTGCTTTTTGTCATTATTCAACACATACAAAGTCTGTCGACATCACAACTTGTGCAAAGCACAATTGCATTTTAGTTTTATTTTATATTTTTTCATTGTCTTTTTTCTTTTTAAAGGAGTGGATGTACGTGATATTGTCGAAGCAGCAGCGTTATATAAAAAATCAAGTGATGAAAAAGCACGAGATCGTTTAATGAGATTTATAATATCGGCTATTGATCAATACGTTGACGATCCTCGTCGACAATCAGAATCTCGCATAGATAATCCTTTTACAAAAGTCTTACTTATACTATGTCCGCCTGTTGGACGCTATATGGGCGATTATCTTCGAAATTTATTTTTATTCATTAAAGTGATCTATTTACTCAATGTACTAGTACAAATTGCTTTATTAAGTGTTCTATTGGGTCATCCATTTTATTCATTAGGTTTTGAAGTATTAAAAATTTTATATGAAGGCAAGGGTTGGGATTATACAAGCCGATATTTTCCAAAAGTAACATTCTGGTACGTTTCTTTTTCTCAAGTATCAAAAATTGCATAAAAAATTTTAATTACTATATTCTCAGTGATTTTCAAATTCGAGAAGCAAATGCATTACCAATCTCACATAGATACACGGTAATGTGTGTTTTACCGATTAATCTATTTAATCAAGTGAGTAGAATTAAAATATTAAAATAGATTAATCACTCTTTTCTATATTTTAAGCAAATTTTTACATTTATTTGGTTTTGGTTTGGAATTGTGATTATTTTAACATGTTATGATTTTTGTATTTGGATATTTCGATTATTTTTTCGTCGTACTGCATATATAGATGAGAGATTGAAAGTTATGGAATATACGCTTACGGAGAGATATCCATTTAATGATCTTTGTAGTATCCATTGTGATAAAGAACACAATGACCGTTTACTACGAAGTACGTAATAATAAAAATTCAATTTTTCTTGTTAACTGAAAGCTTTTTATTATTTTTTGTTTAGTTTTAAGTCGAGATGAGTCAACAATTGATCCAACCTATATACCCAACGATGGAAAGAAAATACATCATTATTCTCGACTGTATCCTGTACCAGAAAGATTTTTAGTAAATAAATTAACATTATTCGATTATTTTAATGATGAATATCTGGAAGCAGATGGTGTTTTTATATTACGCATAATTGGAACAAATGCAAGGTAGATTTATTTATTTTTTATATTTCGCATTTCATAGCTATAATCAATCGACTATAAACGTTAGCTATAATCACGTTAGTTATAATCAATCGACTATAAACGTTCTGTATTAGAACATAAAATATAACATAAACATAAATGTAGTGTGTCCTCAACGAGAAATAATGATTTTTGTTTTTCAGTGATTTTGTATCGACCAGAATTATCCATGAATTGTATGAAAGATGTTGTGCCAAACGTTTCACTCCTAATCCTGTATCACGACAACGAGAAACAGCTAAAACAACATTGTACAAATATGTTATTGTACCAAAAGTATCAGCCGATGAAAAGGAAAACCATACAGATACAAATCCATTTCATAAAAGGGACGTAAATAGCTTTAATTTTACGAGTAATGATCATAAGAAAATAGGTGACATTGAAGAAGAACAAGAAGAAACTCATCATGAACAACAGCAACAACAACAACAACAACAGCAGCAAGCACCTGAAACAAAACGTCGAACTTTACGTAATACGACGAATATATCTGAATCGGGTAGTGACAGAATGAGATCTGGAACTCTTCCATTCATTCACTCGCCGAAAGAAAGTAGTCAAGAATAGCGAATTATTGTGATAGAAATCTCTCTCATAGTTAGTCAATCATTTTTTTTCTATTTGCTATATGTTTTATTTATATTTTACACGACAATATCTATTTTAAACTTACAACTCTTATTTCGAAGTAAAGCCCAAAGATTTAGATTGAGACTTATGTAAATAACAACATAGTTGCCGTGTCATCGCTTGGATTAGAATGAGTTTGAAAGTTTTTCATGTTTCCCGGATAAATAATCTAATTTCAAAACTACTGATTATAATAAGTCTTCTTGAGTTTCATTCAGTCGACTTAATAATATACAACGAAAAATGACAAATCGGCTAACTAGAAGATTTTTTCTGATCTGATTTCGATTATACAAAACGAACCAAGAAATGGATTCTCAAAAGATGCGCAAAGCACTTGGTTTTGAGCATACAGGAGTAGGCATGCACCGGTTATTTTATTGGGGTTCTTGAGGGCAGTAGTTTTAAAACTTGAAGAAACATATGAATTTTTTTCTTTAAAATATAACTGGCGGTTAATAATTGGTCAGTTTTTCACGTAAAAACTTTGTATCTCATCGATGAACCATCGTGAGAAAGTGTTCAATGTCTTATTTTGTAGAGCAAACAGTTGTGCACAAAACTGTTAACTCAAAAATTTTTTAAAAAGTTTCTTCAATTTTTAAAACTACTGCCCCCAAGAACTCCGATAAAATAATCGTTGCATGCCTGTGCAGGAGTGATACCATACGACTTTTTTGTTTATTTTCGAACCGTTCTTCATCTAGTTCTATTCAAAAATGGAAATCTGACGTCAAATTGGTATTCATTGATTGGCATTATTCATTTGTTTATTATTATTATTTGAATAATTACTAATTTGATGTCAGATTTCCATTTTTGAATAGAACTAGATGAAGAACGGTCCGAAAATAAGTAAAAAAGTCTCGTGTCATCACTCTTGTATACTCAAAAAAGTGCTTCACGCATCCATTTCTAGGTGCATGTTGTAGAGCATTCTTCGCTCTATCGAATGCACTTAAAAGCATCGCGCGCCAATGCATTTTCAATCGTTTTATTTTTCAGCGAAGTATTCGAAAATGTGCCGAAAAATTCGGACATTTTACAACTCTTCCTTAAATCAAAACTTCATTTCTTGAAATTTGACCAGCCCTAGCCGGACTTAGAAAGCGCCTAGAAAGTCCATAAATGCAGTTTCGTAAAGCGAACGCGCCTCTATCTTTTGAGATACTGCACTATCCGACTCGATGAGTAGTTTCAGAGATAATACACCCACGAATCGTATGTCAAAAATAAAAGAAACGCTTTTCTTTTTGTCATCAGTACGGGGTAAAAAAATGACGAGGATACCATGAAAGATATGAAAAGTTTTGAAATTCACAAACTAAAGAAATATAATGATTAAAGATCAATGGAGAGATTTTATCAATCAACATACTCAACAGAGACCCAGACAGCACCTGTAACTCCTTCTCTGCATACGCAGCAACTTGCCACTCAGAAAAAAATCACTGATTGATTGAATAAAAATTGCAGTTGTCTTAGTGCAAGCAACCATTTAAACCCCATTCTAGTGAATGTCCTGAATCTAAGGTAATCCATTCAGGGTACAGAATAAAAGTTTTTATTAAAAATACCCACTAAGTACCTGAACAGACTGACTGAATATCCAGTTACTAAAAACGTTTTACTAAGGTACACGGTTCAATCATCGTTTTGTTTCACGTGATGGACTGTAGAAACACCATTTATTTTTAGAGAGCAATAAAGTGCTTTTCGCTAGCATGTAGACAGCATATCACCGAATCGAAAAATTTCAAAAGCTTGTTCGGTCGCAAACCCATGCAGATTAGTGGTAAAAAAGGTTTTTTTTTTTTTTTGGACAAA